TTTTATATCTATCTATCTATCTATCTATCTATCTATCTATCTATCTATCTATCTATCTATCTATCTATCTTAAGCCTCCACTTACAAAGGAAGAGGGAAACCTGGAAATTATCTAAAATTGGGAGGGACAAACACTGAGATAAAATATCAGGTAGTTCCCAACAAGTCTGGTCATACCCTGAGGTGGCTGTTTCAGGCAGCAGATTTTCAAAAGGCAGCAAACTATTTCTCCTTTTGCCTTTCAAAGAAATGACCTGGAATGAGGATACTTGTGAGCTCATGCATCTAAGCCTCTTGGCTGGCTTTGGATACCGTGCAGCCTAATTTGAGCGGGGTGCCATTCTTTGGGCTCTCACGGGTGGTGGTTTGGTCCCCCCTCCAATGAACTGGTAAGAGATTTTAACCCCACAGAGATTGTGCAAAGTTTGCTTGTCGCTGTTGGCGGTGGGGAGCGAGAGAGGCTCCGTGGAATCTTGCTAACTTGACTTTTGCGGTTGCGGCATTATTAAAACCTCGTGCTTAAAAGAAGTCGTAATCCAACGAGCTTAAACGTCTAAACCTTTGGGAAGCACACAGGAGTTTTCGTGAGGAAGAAGTGGCCATTTACTTTATTTTTCGAGCCAATTCTTTGCGATGTGCTCATCCCCTGGAGCACATACAATGCCACTTTCCTCCTTGACTGAAAGGGTAAATTAAGAATTCCTGACACACAATATTGTTCAGAAGAAGAAGGGCGGGGGGAAGCTGAAAGAAAGAAAAGGAACTTGGTGTGTGACTGAGCACTGAAAGAAAATGTAAATTTCAGTCCCAGACTTACTTATTAAAAGAAAGAAAGAAAAGAATGAAACTCAAAAACCCAACTGTTTATCCTTGTCTTAACACTGACATTGCTATCTCTGGAGGTGTTTGACAAAGGGAGAAGAGATTTGTCCCCAGTGTCCATGGCTCGAGGTGGGGAAGTGGGTCCCAACCTCTTTGATTTTTACAGTAAAAGCGGTCCTCCTCATCTCAAAGGCCAACATGGCGCCATACAAAAGAAAAGGAAAAACTAGTTGCTTCCCCCCCCCCCTTTTATTAACGGCAGTGTATTATGTCTCCAGCTGCTCTGTGCTGGGGCAAGAAAATTGGTTTTGCACTGGGGAAAATGCTGCTGATATAGAACGGGCGATTTAGCAGTGACTCGGATGCTTGTAACCCCAGCCAGAAAACAAATTCTCATTAGAAGGGTCAGAGAGAAAGAGAGAGGAATGCTTTTTGCATTCAAGAGATGCAGAACATTATTCCCTTATGAAGGTTGCCATATAATTTGGAATATGAACACACACACACACACACACACAGAGACACACATATATATACATACATATGTATATTCCAAATTAAGGCAACATCTTTCAGCATTTGGTTTCTTTTCCCTCCCGTTGCCACTCCCTGAAAACCAGTCCACTTCTCTGAACATGTCTCTCTCTCAACTTGTTAAGTTTGAAAGATGATAGAGATAACAATTTGCTTTGCCAGTCGACGCATTAAAAAGCAGGATTACTGCAAAGCATTGGAGCCGCTCTGCCGCAGCAGAGCGTGATCAGAATGCAAGATGGAATATAGGGGAGAAAGGACAAGAAATGGTGCTGGCATTCGGAGTTTCTGCAAGTCTCCTTAGCAACTTGTCTGACATCTTTTTAAAAATGTTGGCAGTGACAGAGGGGGCTGTGTGGATCTCTGTGTGTGTCTGTGCGCGTGTGTGTCTGTGCACACATCCCCATGGCCATCCCCCAAATCTCCCATTAAATAAAACATGCCTTTCCATTTTTTAAAATAGTTTCATTTTCCACCGAATCCTTGGGTGCAATGACTGGGTTCAATGAGTTGGGCGAGAGGTGCACCCCCCCCCCATGGAAATGGGTGTTGGAGGACACAGGACTTTCTTCATTCAGAGAAACCCCTAGAGAATTGGGCTCTTCCCAGTTCTTCCCAATGTGGAGGAGATTCCCCACCTTTTTTTTTCACTTCCCCTCCTCGACATGCTATAGAATCAGCAAAAGCCTGTTGTTTGTTAAACAATTTGGAATGCGCTTGGGTTACAGTTTTTTTTTTTAATTATTATTTTTAGAACAGAACTAGTAAAACAAAAGAGAGACCTTCGAAGCCAGATTCTTTTTCTTTCTTTCTTTCTTTCTCTCCCTCCCCCAAACCCCTCCCAGTTTTTCCTTCTCTACCCCTCCCACAGTTTTTTAACTTGACAACTGAAGAATAAACTCCTATGGGAGGAGTGGCTTGCATGGTGATGAAGGTACGTTACATTTTTTTGGGGGGGGGGGGGAGAGAGAGAGAAGAAAGGAAGTTAATATGGGGGGGGGGACAAATCTGAATTTGGCATAGGAAATCCAGTATTGTAGATATCTTGGAGTAACTCAAGAGAGATAGTTCCTGCTTTGCTGGAGAGGCTTCAGAATTTTTTGCTTGGTGTTCAAAAATGATGAAATAAAAGGAAACGCAGTCCATAGAGCGAATGTGAGGCAGAAAATATATAGAAAGGAACCAAGGGTGGGTGTGTTTTTTTTCCTTTTCCTTTTTTTAAATTCTGTTTTGGTTTTTTGGAAGGACTTGAAGTTGGCTGCCATACAAACAGATGTTCCTTGTCTTTCCAGAGTTAAGTAGGGCTTTGTATTGGAGCAAGACACAGGGCAGGAGAGCAGTGGAGTTTTAGAAAGGTGGGTGAGGGCTACAGATGTGTGTGGAGAGAGAGAGAGAGAGGGAGAGGTGGGGTGTGTGGCTGGATTTTTCCTTTCTTTCCATATCGAGTCTATTTTCTCTGAAAAGCATATCTTTTTGTTATTTTAGTTGCTTGAACAGCAGAGAGGAAAAGAATCTGACCTCTTCCATTTTATGGGAGGCTTCTTTTGTTCATTCATATGTGTGTGTGTGTGTGTGTGTGTGTATGAAAACAAACAAACAAATAAAAAGGTTTTCTGTTCAAACTCCTGTAAGACATTCCCGGTAAGTGAATGTTTGCACTGGGCTAGATGACGGGATCTTTCACTTTATTTCTTTTTATCACTCTGGAATTCTTTTCCTCCTGAAAAGCTCTCTGTCCTGTGAGTATGACCGCAAAGGTCTGAAGGCCCCTTTTGCCACTTTCTTCCAATTTTCTTAGAGAAACAGCATTCTTTGTACAGTAGAAATGGAATGAAATGTGAATGATCTCTATTTGTTCTTGTTCTTTTGTTCGTTGCATCAGTTGACTGGATTAATTCCCTCCATCTTTCTGTGATTGTTCTTTTAAACATCTATCTATCTATCTATCTATCTATCTATCTATCTATCTATCT